CCCAATAATGTCAAGATCCAATTTAGCTCTCCAAATAAGTAATCCACAAAAACTTAAAATGGTAATTCTGAAGTAATTTCATTTTTTTACCCTCCCAGCTTCTCAAAGTTTCTAATTAGGCAGAAATGAGTACAGATAACTTAGATGTTAAAAAGAGAAAAACTATCATGCCACAAATTCTGAAGTTCTTTCATGAAAATCTACTTCCTTATCTAAAGCCACTGAAAAGCAATTTCTACTAAGACTGACGATATTAAAATCTGTCTGTGATATCAGCCTTTTTTTTCTTCATACAGTTACAGTGATCATTTATCCTTAATAGAGACCAAATCATATCTTCAGAAAGCAATATACTTGTAAAAAAGCAACAAGCTCTGGAAGACTATTCATTTGGTTTGAATAAAGCACTACTTGGCATTTTTTAAACATTTCCACAGTAACTCTTTCACTACCAATTTGGCAACACAGTAAAATTAACTGTACTTTGTTCCTTATATGTTTCCAGCATATGGTATATAAATCTTCCCAATTTTTCCTAAAATTTTTTGATATCATTCAAGAGATGCAATAGTAAAGAAACATTTAGTATTTTTAGATTTCCTGACAAACAAATTCCAAAACTAACAACTGCAAAGATCCCCAGAAGGGCCACATACTTTGAGTGGAAAAGGTCACTGAGAAAAGTGCCCCAATGGTCTCTAATGTTGCCTACTATTTAGGTAGACATTCTTCCTCTAACAGCTAGTATCCTACCTCATATCCCAAAGTAAATTTAATTTAGTAATAAAGTTCTATCAGAATATAGGGGGGAAATGGGAGCTTCTGATAGCTTTACCAAAGCAAGATAATACAGCCTCAATTTTAAGGTCCAAAAGACGATTAAAAATGATGATCCAGAGAAACACAGCTAAAAGCTTACGTATACACTGGAGGGTTTATACAAAAAAAAAAAAAAAAGACTTTATACTCTTAGAAAAGCCATTTAGAAACCTGAATAATCTTACCAAAAAATCTGTTTAAGTGTAGCAAAAATATAATTTCAACTCTTTAAAAATATTCTTTGGGGCGCCTGGGTGGCTCAGTTGCCTTCAGCTCGGGTCATGATCTCGGGGTCCTGGGATCGAGCCCCGCATCGGGCTCTCTGCTTGGTGGGGCGCCTGCTTCCTCCTCTCTCTCTGCCTGCCTCTCTGCCTACTTGTGGCATCTGTCTGTCAAACAAATAAATAAAATCTTTAAAAAATAATAATAATAATATTCTTTAATAATTCAAAATATAGGGACACCTGGGTGGCTCAATGGGTTAAAGCCTCTGCCTTCGGCTCAGGTCACGATTCCAGGGTCCTGGGATCAAGCCTCACATCGGGCTCTCTGCTCAGCCTGCCTCTCTGCCTACTTGTGATCTCTGTCAAATAAATAAATAAATCTTTAAAAAAAATTCAAAATATACCCATTTATCAATTTGACCAATATTTACTTGGTGCCTGTTTTAAGCAGCTGCCGTGGTGAATAAAATTTAACATAGTATCTCTACCTCAAAGAGCATGCAATATAGTTGGATAGTTTTATTTAAAAAAAGAAAGTTCAACTCTGAGTAAAAGACAGAGATATGGGAAAGAAATATATTTGAAATTGCTTTCAAAATATGCAAAACCTATAAACCTCCCTAAAAAGCGATACTGAATTACAAACTTTATACCCACTTTCGACAGAAAAAAATCTTATTAAAGTTATTTGACTTATTTTTTTTTAAAGATTTTATTTATTTATTTGGCAGAGAGAGAGATCACAAGTAGGCAGAGAGGGAGGGAGAGACAGAGTCCCTGCTGAGCAGAGAGCCCGATGCGGGGCTTGATCCCAGGACCCTGAGATCACGACCTGAGCCGAAGGCAGAGGCTTAACCCACTGAGCCACCCAGGCGCCCATGACTTATATTTTGAGTATGAAGTATATTTAAAAATTAAAAATTACTGGCTACAAGTTACATAAAAAAGCAACACTATTAGTTGATAATCTGACATAATAGGTTACATATAACTGTATCATTTTAAATTTATAAAATGAGGGGCACCTGGGTGACTCAGTGGGTTAAGCCTCTGCCTTAGGCTTAGGTTATGGTCTGGGGTCCTGGGATCAAGCCCCGCATTGGGCTCTCTGCTTGGTGGTGAGCCTGCTTCTCCCCTCTCTGCCTCCTCACTGCCTACTTGTGATCTCTCTCTCTCTCTCTCTGTCAAATAAATAAATAAATAAATAAAAATAAAATATTTTTTAAAAATAATTTATAAAACGAATATAAAAACTTATTATTCTTAGATTTAGTTCTATATTCCCATCATGAATGATTTAAAAGCAGAAATTCATTCCATTTTCATTTGTTTTACAGAATTTTATACAAAAGAATTCTGCAAGTAGCGACACCTAGGTGACTCAGTTGGTTAAGCATCTGCTTTTGGTTCAGGTCATGATCCCAGGGGCCTCACATCCGGTTCCCTGCTTAGGAGGGAGTCTGCTTATCCCTCTCCCTCTGCGTCTCTCTCCAGCTTGTACTCTCTCAAATAAATAAATAAAATCTTTAAAAAAAAAAAATTCTGTAAGTATTGCTAATAGTTTAAGTCGAATTAAGATGAGTCATGCTACTGATGTTGATGTTAATCTATTACAACTACTTTCTATTTTATGCCCCAATTTTAATTCTCTTAAGAGACATATGAAGTTAATTAAACTTTATATAAGTTATATGTGTGGAAGTCATGAATTACTATATTGCACACCTGAAACTAATATAACACTGTATGTTAACTGGAATTAAAAACTTAAAAGAAAATATATATACATTACTATTTAAATTCTTTTAATCAATCTACACTATACAAACTACAAATCCGAGAAAAACCTTTGAAACAATGGTCACTTCAATAAATGCACATATTGTTCTCTCTTTTGTAGAGTTTAAAGCACCTACTAATAACTGAATTTCATGCCACTTACGGTAAATTTCTAGAAGCCACTGAAAGTCCTATTGTATACATATGTTTTTGCAATATTATCCAGTTCCCTGCCCATCCTGTGCTATGTTGACTGTGGAGATTAATAATAATTGATCTTTCAATTAGAAGGTGTTTACAGCGGTGCCTGGGTGGCTCAGATGGTTGGACGTCTGCCTTTGGCTTAAGTCATGATCTCCAGGTTCTGGGATCGGGCCGCATCAGGCATCCTGTTCAGTAAAGAGCCTGCTTCTCCCTCTCCCACTGCCTCAACCCTACTTGTGTGCTCTCTGTGTCTCTCGGTCTCTCAAATGAAAAAATAAAATCTTTAAAAAAAAAAAAAAAAAAAAAGTGCATACATTTAGGGACACCTGGTGGCTTGGTCGTTAAGCAGCTGCCTTCAGCTCCAGTCATGATCCCAGGGTTCTGGGAGGAGTCCCACATGGGGCTCCTTGCTCAGCGGGAGTCTGCTTCTCCCTCTGCCTGCTGTTCCCCTTACTTATGCACGCTCTCTCTCCCTCTGACAAATAGATAAAATCTTTAAAAAACAAAACAAAACACTGTGGAAAGGGACTGCAGACTGACTATTTTTTAAAAAATGAAGGCACTTCCATTTAAAGTGCACTGTTATTTAATTTTTTCTTTTAAGAAGACTCCACGTGAGTGGAGTCCCACTCCGGGCTTGATCTCCATCCTGAGATCAAGACCTGAGCTGAGATCAAGAGCCACTAAGCCACCCAGGTGCCCCTAGAGTGGACTGTTATTTAAATACAATACACACACACACACACACACACACACTTACAATATTGGTAAAAATTTTAACTCATTTTACTTAGGAAGAAACTAAATCTCCAGTAGGTCCCATGACTTGCCCAAGGTCAACAACTAGCCAGTGGCACAGTCTGGGTTCAATCCCAGATTTACCTATCTCAAAGCCAATACTTCCACTTGACCACAATTATCTCCTTAAAAGATTAAGAGACAGGCTCAAAAGCTGAGGATCTTGTCTCTATGAACGTTCATGTATCTATTCTGAGCCATCTATCACCACACAGTACCTACAATTCAGTCGCCAATTAAAATATAAATGAAGAGGATCTTTCTGCTTCATTTAAACTAGGACAGGCATACTGACAGGTAAGAAAGAGATTGGAAAAGGAGGCTTGCCTCAACATGTCTCGCCTAGACCTCTACATCTATATGGTCCCCCCAGCCTATTTTTTATAAACATGCATATCTACCAAACAAAGCTATGCCCGACTACCCTGTAGTTTGGTGCTTTTCCGTGTTGCACTTTTCTAAGACAATTTATACGAGATTTAACATCGAACTGGGAGACCTGGCTGAATATGCCATTCTGGCACTTTCCAAATATCTGAAGTATCATTTAAGGGCAAAGAACCTCACCCTCTTTTTTACTCTGTGATGCTTGCCCACTTGATGGGTACAGCTCCGGTAGGACTCTGGGGCGAGAGTGCAGTAAAGGAAGAAGTGGGGGAAGCACACGGAAGTTGGGTGGAGGGAGGTCTCCTTACCCACTCTTCTGCCCTAGCTCCGCCAAGGGCGGCTCCCCGTGGTGCCCAGCCGACTCACAACCCCCACAACCCTGGAAGCCGTTGCTCTGTCTCAGAAGGGTAGGCAGGGGAAGCAAGGGACTGCCCCAACCACTCGAACAAGGTCCATTCTCCCCTTCTGGCCCGGGAGGATGCTCCCCCTTTCAGAGCGAATCCTCCAGGTGGCAAACTCCCGGTCCACTTCAGCCGAAGTCTTCTGCATCCCAAGGGGCGCCTCCCCCGCAACCTGGAGCTGGCCACCCGAAACTCCCCCAAGCGGTCTCGCCCAAACCCTCCATTCCACCCCCGCAACCCGCCACAGAAACACACGCCGGCCTGCGCCCCACCCAGGATCTCCGCGGCCCCCTCCCCAACCCGGAGAACGGCCCCCCGACCAGTCCCTACAGACACACACACTCTCAGGTTCCAGCCTCCCGGACCCCATCGAAGCCGGAGTGAGTACCTGGTCCGGCAGTGCTCCGAGGCTCAGATTGGGCGGGCGCGGTACCCTCCGGGAGGCGCCGAGTGCTTCTCCAGCCACCCGCAGTGGTGGCTTCTCTCTTTCCCAGGAGCGGGAGGGAGGAGAGGTGCGGGAGGGGAGGGGGAAAGCGAGGAGCCGAGGGGCTGTAAGAGCCGAGCCGGAACCACTAGCGCTGGCCCCACCCTCGGCCCGGCGCAGAGCACCCTGGCGCTCCTGATAGGACAAACTTAAAGCAGGCAAAGAGAGAGGGACACCACCACTTCCGGGTCATCCCCACTACTGCCCCTCCCTAGCAACCGCGTGGGGTTGCTAAGCGGAAGTGCCTTCAAAGACAACCAACCCCATTTCTTCCGAAACTACCAGGAGGTAGCTCGGAGCGGCTACCTTTTTGGAAACATCCTCTTACCTTTCCCCCGTGGTCTTAGAAGGGACACACTCTTCGCCGTCAGAGACGCGGAGCCCAGCTTGCTTTTCCTTTCCACTGTAGTCCCCCCTCCAGCCCCCAGGCACTATATACACCTGCTCCCTCCCAACCTGAGTCCAGGCCAACCCATTGACTCCTCCTAAGGCTCTCTCTGGTCCCTCGTGGGAGTTTTCTTCTGGCGACTTAGCAAGCATCTCCCTCTTGTGGATTTTCAGTTATGTTTCAGCTGGGTTTAAAAAATCTTCAATGTTACGAAAGCTTTTTCATGGACTTCATTCACCTGTAACAGCCTCTGAAACCGAACGGTGAGAAAAGTTTTGTCTTCACCTACCTTTCTTTTGTGAGGATTACACATTTATGTACAATCTAGAAATAGCCTAGCTTAAATGGAAGGGAAAAACAAGGATTGGCTGTAAGTCGAGTAGAGCGATTTTGATCCTTAAAAAAGGCCAAAAGAAGCCGGTAATCAAGCTAGGGAAAGACAACATTTAATCCTCCACTCAGAATAAACTTTAATACCGACGCTGTGGACAAGAAAAATGTTGTGAGACCTCATTTACTCTTCTGTCGGGGTGATCTGAATTTTGAAGTTATTGGGAAAACTACTGGCTATGATAAAACCCAATATAATTAATCCTCTCTTTAGAAAAATGACCCATACATTAGGACAGTTAAATATTCAGAAAAATGTAACTGGGAAATCAGAAAAAAAATTAGTAAAAATCTTGGCTGGACTTTCTTATCTTGAATATGTTTAAAAGCAGTAAAACTTGAGTAGCTGCTGAATCTGTTCTCTATTCGATAGCAGTGAATGTACATGCAATTGCTGGCTCTGATTTTACTGGTCATGATAGCTTCTTAGTCACCAATATTGGACTGTTGTCCACCTCATCTGGGGCAGAGGAAATGAGCTTTGGTAACTTAAAAGAAAGAGCAGGACTGTTGGTTTCCTGTACACATGGAACAGCATTAAATTGATTCATCCTAGACAGTTTAGCAAAACCTGTAGGAAATCACTTAAAATTCAAATGTCAGTAGTAATTTAATTAGTCTAAAACATTTCAACTCTTGCCATGGACATGCATACATGTGGGAGTATGCACATAAAAATTTCAAATGGAATTTGAATACATCCACTGATTAATAGTTCTTTTAAAGGGGTGCCTGGCTGGCTCAGTCAGTAGAGCATGCAAGTTCCAGCCCCAAGTTGGGTGTAGGGATTACTTAAAAAACAAACAAACAAACAAAGAAACCCATGTGGCAATAGGTCACAAGTAATAAACCTGTTACCATGACAAAATAGAGGATATTATTTCAATTGTCAACAGAATCAAAAATTTTTAAATTAGAAAATAAAACTATGAGTTCAATGAATAATGACTTATCTAAACTACCGTGGACTTAGATGTCGCTAAAAATCTTAAAAAGTGATATGGTAAATGTGTTCTATATAAATAAATATTTAATTAGGTAAAATTAATTGTTAAGATTTTTAAAAAGATTTTATTTGTCAGAGAGAGCGAGCATGAGCAGGGGGAAGGGCCAGAGGCAGAGGGAGAAACTCCCCTCTAAGGCTCCCAGAGAGGCTCCCCCACTAAGCACGGAGCCAGATGTGGGACTCAATCCCAGGACCCCAGAATCATGACCTGAGCTGAAGGCAGACCCCTAACCAACTGAGACACCCAGGCATCCCACAATTAATTGTTAAGATTAAATGTGGTAGTAGCCAATATAGAAATGCAGATTCCTGTGCATCATTCATTTTTCCAATTGCCTGAGGTAATAGGAGTTATAAAAGCATCCATTTAAATCCTCTCTTACTATAGTTTTGTGGGTTTTTGTTTTTTTTTTTGTTACTCAGTTGCTTTTTTACAGTTGTATGACTGGCTCAACTACTAAATGGTCATATGACATACAGTTCTATCATTTTCTTTTTTTAAAAGAAAGATTTATTTATTTATGAAGGGCACCTAGGTGGCTTGGTTGATTAAGCGTCTGCCTTATGCTCAGGTCATGATTCCAGGGTCCTGAGATCAAGCCCGGTATCAGGCACCCTGCTCACCAGTGAGTCTGTTTCTCCCTCTTCCTCTGGCCCTCTTCCTGCTTGTGTTTGCTTTCTCTCCAATATATAAATAAAAATATTTTTTAAAAAAGATTTATTTATGAGAGAGAGAGAGAGCACATGTGAGTGGGGGGGGAGGAGCAGAGAGAGAGAAAAAAAAAAAATCTTCAAGCAGCAGGGGGTCTGACATGGGGCTGAATCCCACAACCCATGAGATCATGACCGAGCTGAAACCAAGAGATGCCTAACTGATTGAGCCACCCAGGTGCCCTATTACTCTATCATTTTCAGTATACTCATTGCTTGGAGATCTCTAAAGTTGTACAGCAAAATCCACATCTGAAACTAGCCATGTGGGTTTAACTACATTTTTAGGATTTTGTGAGCAGTACTAGAGGAATCCATATTCTTAATACGAACCATAATTAAGACAGTGCTCTCAGAACCTGGCTAGATCTCAAATGGCCTTCAAAGTCAGTACAGTAAGCACCCTTCATCCTGTAAATGAATACTGGACCTCCAGTCTTTTTGCCAATCTCTTCAAAGTTTTTTTTTCACTTTTTTAAATCGTCTCTTTTAGTCATTTAAGAAAATCAGGGTATCTAACGTTTATTTTTTAAAAACCTAGGGCACCTGGCTGGCTCAGTCAGAACATGTGACTCTTGATATCGGGGTCATGAGTTAGAGCCCCTCATTAATGTAGAGATCACTTTAAAAACAAGTAAATAGGGTGCCTGGATGGCTTAGTGGGTTAAGTCCCTGCCTTCGACTTGGGTCATGATCTCAGGGTCCTGGGATCTGGTCCGGCATCATCGGGCTCTCTGCTCAGCGGGGAACCGGCTTCCGCCTCTCTCTCTGCCTGCCTCTCTGCCTACTTGTGATCTCTGCCTGTCAAATAAATAAATAAAATTTAAAAAAATAAATAAGTAAATAAAAATAAAATAAAAATAAGTAAATAACTTTTATTTATTTATTTATTTTTAGATTTTATTTATTTATTTGACAGACAGAGATCACAAGTAGGCAGAGAAGCAGGCAGAGAGAGAGGAGGAAGCAGGCTCCCTGCTGAACAGAGAGCCCAATGTGGGGTTCGATCCCAGGACCCTGAGACCATGACCTGAGCTGAAGGCAGAGGCTTTAACCCACTGAGCCACCCAGGCGCCCCAGTAAATAACTTTTTAAAACAATAAAACCCAATACTGTTACTCAATAATATTTAAATATTCCTGAAGTAATTAATATTCAGATATACTTAGAGTTCCATTGGCATCTCCAAATATAAAAGATAACAAAACTAGGGGCACCAGCGTGGCTCAGTGGGTTAAGCCTCTACCTTCGGCTCAGGTCATGGTCTCAGGGTCCTGGGATCGAACCCCACATTGGGATCTCTGTTCAGCAGGGAGCCTGCTCCCCCCCCCCCTCTGCCTGCCTCTCTGCCTACTTATGATCTCTCTCTGTGTCATATAAATAAATAAATCTATAAAAATAAAACGATAACAAAACTTGAGTCTATCAGTTAGTGAATACTTGGGATCAATTGGGGAAGACATGTAGCCAAATTTGCCACTTAAATGCCTAAGCAATATACAACACAAAACCCACAGTTCCTAACACAAGGGACTTACAGAAACTCACTTAGGATACATGTGAAATAAACTATAGAATGTTTAGCCCTAGGAAGAGAAGCCTTAGGATATAACAGCTATCTTGAAATACATGAAGGTTGTAATGTGGAAGGAATAACTTGTTATGAGTTATTTCAAAGACAAAACCAAGAATAGAAGGAGGGCAGTTAGAGAAATTCAAAATTTTAATTCCCAACATTTTTCACAGTTAGAGTTGCCAATTAATAAAATAGTTCACCTAATGAACAGCTGTAATTGGCTTGAGTTGGGCAAGATGACTTCTTGTTCAGTGAGGTTTTGATTCAATGAAAATTTTTCCCACCCCCGTATGCCATCCTCAAAGGTAAAAAGAACCATTATAACAATGTTGGTTGGATCAAGGTCCAGCTGAACCTTCAATTTTTCCAAAAGTGAATTACCACGACACATTGTAAGTACAGTGAAAACTGTAAGCAGCGTATATATACATATGGAAAGGTGCGGTTAATTTAGGTTTCATTTTCTGCTTTTAAGAAAAATGGTAAGTATTTGGGGCGCCTGGGTGACTTAGTGGGTTAAAGCCTCTGCCTTTGGCTCAGGTCATGATCCCAGGGTCCGGGGATCAAGCTCGCACCGGGCTCTCTGCTCAGCAGGGAGCCTGCTTCCTCCTCTCTCTCTCTGCCTGCTTCTCTGCCTTCTTGTGATCTCTGTCAAATAAATAAATAAATAATCTTTTAAAAATGATAAGTATTTGTCATAAATAACTCCTGGAGCAAGCACACTGTACAACTTTCATGATAGTATTGCTCTTCCAGGGTGCCTGGGTGGCTCAGTGAGTTAAGCTTCTGCCTTCAGCTCAGGTTATGATCCTCGAGTCCTCAGATTGAGGCCCACATGCGGATCCCTGCTCAAGCAGAGTCTGCTTCTCCTTCCCCTCCCACGCTTGTTCTCTCTCTCGCTCTCCCTCAAATAAATAAATATTTTAAAAAATAAAATAAAAATATAGTATATTTCTTCCTTTGTGAAACTAGGTGAACATAAA